TCTGGTGTAATAATACTTGTAACCTTGTAACACAGATGGTGTATATCTCTGGTGTAATAATACTTGTAACCCTGTAACACGGATGATACATATCTCTGGTGTAATAATACTTGTAACCCTGTAACACAGATGGTACATATCTCTGGTGTAATAATTCTTGTAACCTTGTTACACATATGGTGAATATATCTGGTGTAATAATACTTGTAACCCTGTAACACAGATGGTGTATATCTCTGGTGTAATAATACTTGTAACCTTGTAACACAGATGGTGTATATCGCTGGTGTAATAATACTTGTAACTTTGTAACACAGATGGTGTTTATATCTGGTGTAATAATACTTGTAACCCTGTAACACAGATTGTTCATATCTCTGGTGTAGTAATACTTGTAACCTTTTAACAAAGATGGTATATATCTCTGGTGTATTAATACTTGTAACCTTTTAACAAAGATGGTATATATCTCTGGTGTAATCATACTTGTAACCTTGTATCAAAGATGGTATATATCGCTGGTGTAATAATACCTGTAACCTTGTACCACAGATGTTGTATATCGCTGGTGTAATATTACTCGTAACCCTGTAACACAGATTGTACATATCTCTGGTGTAGTAATACTTGTAACCTTGTAACAAAGATGGTATATATCGCTGGTGTAATAATACATGTAACCTTGTAACACAGACGGTGTATATCGCTGGTGTGATAATACTTGTAACTTTGTAACCCAGATGGTGTTTATATCTGGTGTAATATTACTTGTAACACAGATGGGGTTTATATCTGGTGTAATAATACTTCTAACGTGTATATCGCTGGTTTAAAAATACTGGTAACCTTGTAACACAGACGGTGTATATCGCTGGTTTAAAAATACTGGTAACCTTGTAACACGGATGGTGTATATCGCTTGTGTAATAATACTTGTGACTTTGTAACACAGACGGTGTATATCGCTGGTGTGATAATACTTGTAACTTTGTATCACAGATGGTGTTTATATCTGGTGTAATACTACTTGCAACCCTGTAACACAGATGTTACATATCTCTGGTGTAATGATACTTGTAACCTCGTAACACAGATTGTACATATCTCTGGTGTAGTAATACTTGTAACCTTGTATCAAAGATGGTATATATCTCTGGTGTAATTGTTTATATCTGGTGTAATACTACTTGCAACCCTGTAACACAGCTGGTGTAATAATACATGTAACCTTGTAACGCAGATGGGGTATAGCGCTTGTGTAATATTTCTTGTACCTTTGTAACACAGATAGTACATATCTCTGGTGTAATCATACTTGTAACCTTGTATCAAAGATGGTATATATCTCTGGTAACACAGATGGTATATGTCTCTGGTGTAATGATACTTGTAACCTTGTAACAAAGATGGTATATATCGCTGGTGTAATATTACTTGTAACTCTGTAACACAGATGGAGTATATCTCTGGTGTTATAATACTTGTAACCCTCTACCACAGATGGTACATAACTCTGGTGTAATAATACTTCTAACGTGTATATCGCTGGTGTAATAATACTTGTAACCCTGTAACATAGATGGTGTATATCTCTGGCGAATAATACTTGTAACCCTGTAACACAGATGGTACATATCTCTGGTGCAATAATACTTGTAACCCTGTAACACAGTGGTGTATATCGCTGGTGTAATAATACTTCTAACCCTGTAACACAGATAGTACATATCTCTGGTGTAATAACATAGATGGTGTATATCTCTGGTGTAATGATACTTGTAACCTTGTAACTCAGATGGTGTATATCTCTGGCGAATAATACTTGTACCCCTGTAACACAGATGGAGTATATCTCTGGTGTACTAATACTTGTAACCTTGTAACAAAGATGGTATATATCTCTTGTGCAATAAGACTTGTAACCCTGTTACACAGATGGTACATATCGCTGGTGTAATAATACTTCTAACCCTGTAACACAGATGGAACATATCTCTGGTGTAATAATACTTGTAACCTTGTAACAAAGATGGTATATATCTCTGGTGCAATAAGACTTGTAACCCTGTAACACAGATGGTACATATCTCTGGTGTAATAAGACTTGTAACCCTGTAACACAGATGGAACATATCTCTGGTGTAATAATACTTGTAACCTTGTAACATAGATGGTACATATCTCTGGTGTAATAATACCTGTAACCCTGTAACACAGATGGTACATATCTCTGGTGTAATAATACCTGTAACCCTGTAACACAGATGGTGTATATATCTGGTGTAATATTACTTGTAACCCTGTAGCAAAGATGGTGTATATCTCTGGTGTAATACTACTTGTAACCCTGTAACACAGATGGTGTATATATCTGGTGTAATATTACTTGTAACCCTGTAACACAGATGGTGTATATCTCTGGTGTAATAATACTTGTAACCCTGTAACACAGATGGAGTATATCTCTGGTGTACTAATACTTGTAACCTTGTAACACAGATGGTGTATATCTCTAGTGTAATACTACTTGTAACCCTGTAACACAGATGGTGTATATCTCTGGTGTAATATTACTCGTAACCCTGTAACACAGATGGTGTATATCTCTGGTGTTATAATACTTGTAACCCTGTAACACAGATGGTGCATATATCTGGTGTAATAATACTTGTAACCCTGTGTAACCCTGTAACACAGATGGTACATATATCTGGTGTAATAATACTTGTAACCCTGTAACATAGATAGTGTATATCTCTGGTGTAATAATACTTGTACCCCTGTAACACAGATGGTACATATATCTGGTGTAATAATACTTGTAACCCTGTGTAACCCTGTAACACAGATGGTACATATATCTGGTGTAATAATTCTTGTAACCCTGTAACACAGATGGTCTATATCTCTGGTGTAATAATACTTGTATCCCTGTAACACAGATGGTATATATCTCTGGTGGAATAATACTTGTAACCTTGTAATACAGATGGAGTATATCTCTGGTATAATAATACTTGTAACCCTGTAACACAGATGGTGTATATCTCTGGTATAATTATACTTGTAACCCTGTAACACAGATGGTACATATATCTGGTGTAATAATACTTGTAACCCTGTAACACAGATTGTATATATCTCTGGTGTAATAATACTTGTACCCCTGTAACACAGATGGTGTATATCTCTGGTATAATTATACTTGTAACCCTGTAACACAGATGGTCTATATCTCTGGTGTAATGATACTTGTAACCTTGTAACACAAATGGTATATATTTCTGGTGTAATAATACTTGTAACCCTGTGTAACCCTGTAACACAGATGGTACATATCTCTGGTGTAATAATACTTGTAACCTTGTAACACAGATGGTGTATATCTCTGGTGTAATGATACTTGTAACCTTGTAACACAGATGGTATATATTTCTGGTGTAATAATACTTGTAACCCTGTAACATAGATGGTGTATATCTCTGGTGTAATAATACTTGTAACCTTGTAACACAGATGGTGTATATACCTCTGGTGTAATAATACTTGTAACCTTGTAATACAGATGGTGTATATCTCTGGTATAATAATACTTGTAACCCTGTAACACAGATGGTATATATCTCTGGTGTAATGATACTTGTAACCTTGTAACACAGATGGTATATATCTCTGGTGTAATGATACTTGTAACCTTGTAACACAGATGGTATATATTTCTGGTGTAATAATACTTGTAACCCTGTAACATAGATGGTGTATATCTCTGGTGTAATAATATTTGTAACCCTGTAACACAGATGGTGTATATCTCTGGGGTAATAATACTTGTAACCTTGTAACACAGATGGTATATATCTCTGGTGTAATAATACTTGTAACCCTGTAACACAGATGGTATATATCTCTGGTGTAATAATACTTGTAACCTTGTAACATAGATGGTGTATATCTCTGGTGTAATAATATTTGTAACCCTGTAACACAGATGGTGTATATATCTGGTGAAATAATACTTGTAACCCTGTAACACAGATGGTGTATATCTCTGGTGTAATAATTCTTGTAACCTTGTAACACAGATGGTGTATATCTCTGGTGAAATAATACTTGTAACCCTGTAACACAGATGGTGTATATTGGTGTAATAATACTTGTAACCCTGTAACACAGATGGTACATATCTCTGGTGTAATAATACTTGTAAACCTGTAACACAGATGGTACATATCTCTGGTGTAATATTACTTGTAACCCTGTAACAAAGATGGTACATATCTCTGGTGTAATAATGCATGTAACCCTGTAATACAGATGGTGTATATCTCTGGTGTAATAATACTTGTAACCTTGTAACACAGATGGTGTATATATCTCTGGTGTAATAATACCTGTAACCTTGTAACACAGATGGTGTATATCTCTGGTGTACTAATACTTGTAACCCTGTAACACAGATGGTATATATCTCTGGTGTTATTATACTTGTGACCCTGTAACACAGATGGTGTATATATCTCTGGTGTAATAATACCTGTAACCTTGTAACACAGACGGTGTATATCTCTGGTGTAATAATTCTTGTAACCTTGTAACACAGATGGTGAATATCTCTGGTGTAATAATACTTGTTACCCTGTTACACAGATTGTATATATCTCTGGTGTTATAATACTTGTGACCCTGTAACACAGCTGGTGTATATCTCTGGTGTAATAATACTTGTTACCCTGTTACACAGATGGTATATATCTCTGGTGTTATAATACTTGTGACCCTGTAACACAGATGGTGTATATATCTGGTGTAACAATACTTGGACTTTATATTTTAAATTTGAGAAAGATATCTCCAGTACTTTCTGAGAAATAGTGATAACAAGAATTGTTTTAGGACATATGGGTGGCAGCCTGAATGACAGACGGATGACGGATTACAGATGCAGAGTGATTTAAATAGCGCACCATCTGATGGTGTTGATCTAAAAAAGTGATGCTGGACAGTTGCTGTGCCACTGACTTGCACACTGACATACAACACAGAAATGATCTCAAATCTTAACAAATTACTTAGTTTTAAAGCTTCTATGATTCAATTACAATCATTCACCAGATTGAAATAATTTGAATGCTATCACTCAATTGAAACTGTTGTTAATCATTGACAGTTTTAAATATAAACTGTCCATATAACTAGCCGCCTTACATTGTTACAGTGAGGTACTTGTTTTCACCGTTGACCAGGATTTCCACTTTCGTGTTATTAACGTTGTGCTTGAAGAACCTTCCCCGAATTGTAACCTCTGTGCCACCAGCTACTGGACCAAAGGCTGGTTCCAAGTTCTCCGAGTCAAACATGGGATTCTACAAACACAAAAAGAATCAATTTTACCATTACACAAAAATGCCAATTAAAATATAAACCTACCGTAATTCATTTAGTATTCATTTGTCAATCTATGACTGCCATGGTTAGACAGCTGAAATCCCAATTACCGGGTATTATGACATAACAAGTAATAATTCTAGGATACCACTGAGTCTTACTGGAATGTGGCTTTTCTATTTATTGATCAAGCACCATGTTAAATACATAATTGAATTAAAATGAAATGCTGAATGCCATTTTTAATGAGGTGAACATATTCCATACAGGTTACATATCCCACACTTCAAATCTATATATTTTATGCGGAACTCCACATTTTCCCATATTTTTTCATTTGAAGAAATATGGAGGAATTCACATGTATTATACTGAGAATATATGGAAAAAATGTGGAAAAACTGACTTTGTAAATATATCATTTGGAGAAGTTGGACTTTGCAAAAAATCACAAAATCAGAATACCGTAAAAACCCATGTAATTTGCGCAGTTTTTTTTCAGAGTTCTAATACCCAAAGTGGGGAGTGCGTAAAATACACAGGTATAGAAAATTTCAAGTTTTTTTCAGGAAAAGATCGACGATTCTGGGAGACCGCCATCTTGGATTATCTCCCTTGGCACCAGGAACTCTAAGACAAATGACGGTCAACAAATTTATTTATGTCAAACATTAATAAAAGAACTAGGAAGCTGTACTAGTAGGCTGCATTGACTGGTCACTGCTCGGCGTCCCCACACGATCTTGAGCCATTCCTTCATTGATGTTTCGGCCATCCATCCCTTCTCGTGTACACGGATGATGACATCAGGAGGGAAATCACCCTTGGGCATGGTCTTCCGCTTGAAAATGACATAAGGAGGTAGTTTCGTCCCATCTCCCATGCAGGCTAGCATCACTGGAAAAAAAATACGAAAATAAGTCTTAATATTCAACAGCGGTATTTGACTATAATACTAATTACCGTCCAGTACACAATATAGTAATTCTACACGATATGTACTCGTATATTGACTAGTATTCTGGTATGCGTATTTCGAAAGTCATGGGAACTTGTTTTTCTTCTGTACTCGTAAATCTCAATAATTACCGTACTATTTTATATGCGTATTTCGAGAGTCATAGGAACTTTTAATCGGAGCGTTAAATAGTTTGGATTTTTTTCTAATGATAATTACCTGTAAACCGGTTCTTTTCGTTTCCAGTTGTCTTGATTGCGACGCTCTTTGAGTTGGTGTGTGTCACTGTCGTATGGTAGGGGAGGTCAAAGGTGAGTGGGGTCTGGTCTGCATTGCCAATATTGGAGAGGTCGATGGTGTGTCGTTTGCGTATCTTTATGATGTAGTTCTGGAAATCTGTCAGTTTCTCTTCATGGTCGTCTGGCTGTCGCATGGCGATAGTGGTCCGTCGTCTCACACTGAGTTGGTGTCGTCGCATGAACCTGTAACACCAGTTCAATGAGGCCTTGAAGGTAGTCGATGGAAACTTGATTCGAAGCAGGTGAGATGCCCGGAGTCAAATTTCTGTGCTGCTGACACCATGTCCCTCGTCCCTACGGTCGCAAATCCACTGGTACAAGGCTTGTTCCATCTCGGGATGCGCTGACTGTCTCCCTCGGTTGGCTCTCTTATTAGATGGCATGACAATGAGTTGTTGCGTCTGTTTTTTCGCCAAAAACGGATGTTGGATTCGCCGACATTAAAGTGACGTCCCGCAGCTCTGTTGCCAAGTCTCTCAGCGAATTCTATTACTTCCAGCTTTTCTTGCGCCGTCCAGGAGCCGTCCTTTTTTCCCATTTCGTGGATTGGTAGTAGTGGTGGAGGAGCATGAACATCGTTTTTTTCTGATTTTTTGGGTGCGCAAAATATTCGAGTAGAGGCTTTTTTCCCGATTTTCAGCCTCAAAAAGTGCCTGCGCAAATTACACAGGTGCGCAAATTACATGGGTTTTTACGGTACCGATTATGGACTTACAATTTTTCTGATACAGAGAAAAATACAGAAAAAATATGGAAAAATGATGATTAATAAACACTGTGAGCCACTTTGGTCCATCTAGAATGTTGGTCAATTTTCACAATCAAATTCTGAAAGCATTCAGGTCAGTTGGTTTGTGTGAAAGGATGAAGGAACATGTATTTGAGAAGCAAATACCAGCATCTAATCAGGTATTATGATTGATAGCTTCTTGCTTTGAATGTTTAAGTCATGAGATGTATTCTGATTCCAACAATGATCTGATTTTAAGGTTTAAATTGTTTTCAAAGGTAAGGGTAAGTTTTGGTTTTATTTATTTAAAATATCAGGGAAAAGAACAACTACATATATCAGCTAGGTCTGTCGTGTTTGGCATCTCGGACAAAGCCTTGACCTTTAAGCTTATCTAGAATAGGTTTCAGACCTGAAGCTGTGATCAGATGTCCTACAAACACGTTTTGAGCATGGTTGTCTAATGGTAGAACGCAGGGCTCGTGACCGTAGGGTTGCAGGTTTAAGTCACGCCACAGCACTGTATTGTATCTCTGAGCAAGATACTTTACTCCGCTTGTTCCAGTCTACTCAGCTGTAAATGAGTATGTGGTTGGGCAGTGATAGAGTTGTTGAATGCTAGCTGTGAGCTTTAGGATGTATTCTAATATTCTTGATTATTGCATTGAAAGTTAATGTCGCCAAACTGACACTATTAGTCAATAATACTCATAGATAAATGAAATGATGGCGCTAATGGAGGACTATGGGCTTCCAAAGATTGAACTCTGTATCCTGTAATAGAATAAAAAGGAACTAAGAACATAGCCTCCTTATGCCTTGTTGAAGTGAGGAAAAGCTTAGGTTGCCACAAAATTGGACTGCTTGAGGTCTGAGCCTCTTTTCTATAACAATGCCCTTATTTGAATGAAAACGAGGACTGGGCCTCCACACACATTTGTATAAGGATGAGGACTGGATGCCTCCACACGCGCTATGAATTAGGATGAGGATTTGGCCTCCACTGGTATGAAATGGGATGAGGACTGGGTCTCCACACACATATGAAATGGGATGAGGACACGCGCTATGAATTAGGATGAGGACTTGGCCTCCACACACGTATGAAATGGGATGAGGACTGGACCTCCACACACGTATGAATTGGGATGAGGACCCAGGGCCTCCACACGCGTATGAATTAGGATGAGGACTTGGCCTCCACATGTATGAAATGGGATGAGGACTGGGCCTCCACACGTGTATGAATTAGGATGAGGACTTGGCCTCCACATGTATGAAATGGGATGAGGACTGGGTCTCCACACACGCTATGAATTAGGATGAGGACTTGGCCTCCACACAGCCCTCAGGCCCTTGGGAGGCCAGACCCACGGTTTATACAAAATTGAGTCCCCTTGGCCCAAGGATACTCCAGACTAAATAAGGATAAATCCCTCACTCCCTATGGTAGGAGAAGGATTTTGGAGGTTTTACCTCTTTTTCCCCTATTTGGCCCCGCCCCTCTGCCCCAAGGGGGGTCACACCAACCATTTATACAAATCTTGGCCTTTCAGGACAACTAAGTAGCGTTTTAAAGGAAAAGTTGACGGATGGACGGACGACGGATGAATGCTGCGGTATGGCATAAGCTCACCATGGTTCTTCGGATAAAGTGAGCTAATAAAACATGCACAACTAAATATAAGGACCCACATATCAAATTTGAGGTAAACCCCTCAAGGACTTTCTGGGAATTAGCAATAACAAACTCTAACGGTCAAAATTTAAGATGGCCACCTGTCAATAATTTTGTTTATTCCATCAGTCACAAAAGTAAACATGCATAATAAATGACCAAGGGGATCCTACAAATAAAGAGGAAGGTATCTCCATCACTCCCTTAGAAATAGCAACATTGTATAGTCAAAATCCAAGATGATCCTTATTAACAGAGTAGTTTGCGCCAAAGAAAAACACAGAAATGTTTGTTTTGTTCCTTTCTTTGTCTAATAAATTATTCTCAATAAGTTCAAGGTACCCTTTTAGGTCCAATAGTATGGTATCATTTTGTCAGATTGAGGTAATTGGATGCATTACTGCTTTATTCACTTGAAGACTGGTTCAACAAACAAGAGATCCCAGAGGGATCTTGGCGCCCACCTTCGTACCATCTTCATTAGTTCTTTGTCAGTTCAATCTTTTCTCTTTTTTCCTCTAATCTGTTTGATCGAGTCATGTTAACCAAAAATGCACCTTTAGGTAACTTTTGATCTAAGTTTAATACTGATGAGTATGAAAGCCAACCTTCAAAGTGAGTTTGTCATTTCACATATTTACTAGTACAGTACTTAATGTGAAAGAAATAGAATCGATCATTGCAATATGAGAAAGATCTGTTTAGTTCTTCTTTTAATCCATTTTGTTTTTATGATCAGTCTCAAAATATAACATGCACAACGAGGGATCATGGGGAACCTACATATAAAATTTGAGAAAGATCCCTCCCGTACTTCCCGAGAAATAGTGATAACAAACTTTCAATATCAAAATCCAAGATGGCTGCATGTCGGCCATGTTGTTTATCCGATCAGTCTAAAAAGTTGCCCTGTACAGCTAAGGACCAAGGGAAACCTACATAAAGATTTGAGAAAGATCCCTCTGATACTTCCCAAGAAATAGCGATAACAAACTTTCAATATCAAAATCAAAGATGGCTGCCTGTCGGCCATGTTGTTTATCCGATCAGTCTCAAAAAATGCCCTGCACAGCTAATGACCAAGGGAAACCTACATATAAAATTTGAGATTGATCCCTCAAGTACTTCTTGAGAAATAGCGATAACAAACTTTCAATATCAAATTCCAAGATGGCTGCCTTTCGGCCATATTGTTTATCCGATCAGTCTCAAAAGTTGCCCTGCATAGCTTAAAGGACAAAGGGGAGCATACATATTAAATTTAAGAAAGATCCCTCTGGTACTTCTTGAGAAATAGCAATAACAAACTTTCACTATCAAAATCAAAGATGGCTGCCTGTCGGCCATGTTGTTTATCCGTTCAGTCTCAAAAGTTGCCCTGCACAGCTAAGGACTAAGGGGAACCTATATATAACATTTGAGAAAGATCCCTCTGGTACTTCTTGATAAATAGCGATAACAAACTTTCACTATCAAAATCCAAGAGGGCTGTCTGTTGGCCATGTTGTTTATAAGATCAGTCTCAAAAGTTGCCCTGCACAGCTAAGGACCAAGGGGAACCTATATATAAAAGTTGAGAAAGATCCCTCTGGTATTTCTTGAGAAATAGTGATAACAAACTTTCAATATCAAAATCCAAGATGGCTACCTGTCGGCCATGTTGTTTATCCGATCAGTCTCAAAAGTTGCCCTGCACTGCTAGGGACCAAGGGGAACCTACATTTAAAAGTTGAGAAAGATCCCTCTGGTACTTCTTGAGAAATACCGATAACAAGAATTGTTTAAGGACGGACCACGGACGGACCACGGACCACGGATGAAGGGTGATTTCAATAGCCCACCATCAGATGATGGTGGGCTAAAAATGAGGTCGTAGAATCACCACTTATGGAGGGGTATAGCAAAGAAATTGTTGCACATTTAATTACACAAAGAATGTGGAAAATCCGCCTCAATTATATTTCAAACTGTAGTTTCATACAAAGACTATCTAAATTCGCACATTCAACCCCGTTTATCAATGTTTTATATAATTAAAAGCCAATTCTTTATTCCAAGTGCAGGCACATACGAAAATTTGCCATAGAAAAATAACAATGCACCCCATTGGCCACTGTTTATTAGATTCACAATACATGTTACTTTTGTTTCTATGTTATTCATTCCATTAGGACAAGTAATTATCATATCCCTAGGTTATAAATATCTGGTTTATGTGCTAGCTCTTGTATTATTCTGCAACTCCAATTAATCTACACTGTTGATGTTGTTGTCAATAATCCGTCAAAATATTTTATGTGTCAATTAAATGTAAGTTGGAAACACAAAATCAGGTTTTCAGGAAGAGTTTCCAGAAATCAGCTATTACTGTTGATCAAGGGAGTATATGTAACTCAGGGAAGGTTTCTGAAGAAAGTAGTGAGCGGCCAGAAGTCATGCAATTTTGACATTTCTGATCTCTACTGTGTCTAAAACATCAGAGGTTAAAAAGTTGATATGCCAGACAGACAGACGCCACACCACATCATAAGCCCATTTGGCCCTTTGGGCAAGGTGAGCTAAAAATGAAATGAAGTCATTTGACCTCAATGATGTCGATGTACTCACACACTGCAGGTTATGACGGACAGGATACAGACATACACACTGCCCAGAGGTCTGGTCACATGATGTGATGTCCTGCGACCCCACCTTATTACACGTGCAGTCGTCACATCCTCGGGAATTGGCAAAATCAAGATTTTTGTATCCAGATTTACACAAATCACACTTCCTACCTAAAATGTAAAACAAAAACAAAAAACAAAAAAGTTTTAATTTTATTTTTTTGAAGCTTCTCATTCTAACTCACCGTTGTCGATTCTGTTCTTTTATTTGAGATGTTTATGTTGAAGGATTATTACAGACTTTGTTAGGCTCATTCTAAGGAAGCTACCTGTTCTTTAAAGCAAGTTGTTTGAATTGTTTGATATATTTGACCTCTTTAAAGTAGATCCAGGTCACTTTTGTTCAAAAAGTTAGGTTCCATCAAAGGAATCTATCAGAAAAATGTCATGACTCTAGGCTTTATGGTTCTTCTGAAGAAGTCATTTAGGGTTTTATATATATTTGACCTCTGTTACCATGAAAGTAGGTCAAGGTCATTTTTATTCCCAAATTTCTAGCCAAATATCGTAACTCTAGTCCTTTCAGATTTTCAAAAGAAGTTTATTTTTATTTTTGACATACAATGTATTTAAAATTTGTGACATTGAATGTGACATGACTGTAAGCATTTCATTAAAAGTAGTTGCTTAAAGAATAAGTTGAAGACAGATGGATGAACAGACGATGGATGCTGCTCCACAGCATTAACTGTACATTAAAAACCTACTCAAATAAAAAAAATCCATAACTGGAAATAAGTCTTTTTCATTTTCTCTACATCAATTGGATGAACTGGGGTATTGAATTTAAATATCTTATTTCCCACTTTGCTCCCTGCCCCAAGATGGAGTGGAGAAGAGGTGTCAGTTGTTCATATGTGTATAGCTTCGAATTGCCATCCCTTGATATTGATAATTCTAAATAAGTTTAAACGATTTGGAATTGAAAATATAGAAACTAATTCCAGATTTACAGGACATTAGTTAGCATACTATAACATTGCTTTATCATCACAATAATTCCAATTAAGATTTAACTGTTTTCTACAGAAAACAAACAAAATATACCTGAAAGTGTCATTTCCTTATACATGTACTAACTTAAGTACGCTTTGCCCCCTAACTTTCCTTCGGGGTAAATAAATGACCTCTTTCAGGCAACACTTTCAGGCCCAAGGGGTGAGTTTGTTTTCATGCCATCTCACAGCAATTCCTTCACAATCTTTAAAACCAAGTTTTAACTTTTTCCTCCTGAAATAAACAAATTACCCAAAAGTGTTATTTTCCTCTAGAACCTAAATTACCCCCTCTCCTAGGGAAAATGGATGACCTGGGGGAGGGGGGGGGGGTATTTGAGTTAACAATTTAGACGAAGTACCTTAGTACCGCTTTACATATAATTAGAGTATTTAATTTTTAGATGTCTTTTTCTAAAGATTTTTGAAATTTTAGCAAGTTCCCACTTTTGGCCCAGTCCCTGAGACCTCTGGAGAGTTGGATCTATCTATTATGATGAGCTGCTCTTGACCCTTGATCATTCTTCTTGCAAAATTATATAAAATAAAGCCTTGAAAAAAAGTACATGTACAGGTGTGGCATGGTTTTGTGTATCACAGTGAAATGAGCAGGTGTCAAATTACGATGATAATGGTTCATTTCACCATGATATAGGGGCAGGAGAGGTTCAGTTAACCATGATATAGGGGCAGGAGAGGTTCAGCTCACCATGATATAGGGGCAGGGGAGGGTCAGGGGGGGGCAGGAGAGGGTCATTTCACCATGATATATCGGCAGGAGAGGTTCAGTACACCATGATATAGGGGCAGGGGAGGTTTAGGGTTGGGCAGGAGAGGTTCATTTCACCATGATATAGCGCCAGAGAAGGTTCAGTTCACCATGATATAGGGGCATGAGAGGTTCAGTTCACCATGATATAGGTGCATGAGAGGTTCAGTTCACCATGATATAGGGGCAGGTGAGGTTCAGGGTGGGGCAGGAGAGGTTTAGTTCACCATGATATAGGGGCAGGAGAGATTCAGTTCACCATGATATAGGGGCAGGAGAGGGTCATTTCACCATGGTATAGGGGCAGGAGTGGTTCAGGGTGGGGCAGGAGAGGTTCATGTCACCATAATATAGGGGCAGGAGAGGTTCAGGGTGGGACAAGAGAGGTTCATTTCACCATGATATAGGGACAGGAGAGGTTCAGGGTGGGGCAGGAGAGGGTCATTTCACCATGGTATAGGGGCAGGAGTGGTTCAGGGTGGGGCAGGAGAGGTTGAGTTTACCATGATATATGGGCAGGAAAGGGTCAGTTCACCATGATATAGGGGCAGGGGAGAGGTTCAGTTCACCATGATATAGTGGAAGGAGAGGTTCAGGGTGGGGCAGGAGAGGGTCAGTTTACCATGATATATGGGCAGGAAAGGTCCAGTTCACCATGATATAGGGGCAGGGGAGAGGTTCAGTTCACCATGATATAGAGGCAGAAGAGGTTCAGTTCACCATGATATAGGGGCGGGAGAGGTTCAGGGTGGGGCAGGAGAGGTACGGAAGGAGAGGTTCAGGGTGGGGCAGTAGAGGTTCATTTCACCATGATAAAGGGGGAGGGGAGGTTCAGGGTGGGGCAGGAGAGGGTCATTTCACCATGGTATAGGGGCAGGAGTGGTTCAGGGTGGGGCAGGAGAGGTTGAGTTTACCATGATATATGGGCAGGAAAGGTTCAGATCACCATGATATAGGGGCAGGGGAGGTACAGGGTGGGGCAGGAGAGGTTCAGTTTACCATGGTATAGGGGCAGGGGAGGGTCAGGGGGGGGCAGGAGAGGGTCATTTCACCATGGTATAGGGGCAGGAGTGGTTCAGGGTGGGGCAGGAGAGGTTCATTTCACCATGGTATAGGGGCAGGAGTGGTTCAGGGTGGGGCAGGAGAGGTTCAGGGTGGGGCAGGAGAGGTTGAGTTTACCATGATATATGGGCAGGAAAGGTTCAGTTCCCCATGATATAGGGGCAGGGGAGGTTCAGGTCACCATGATATAGGGGCATGAGAGGTTCAGTTCACCATGATATAGGGGAAGGAGAGGTTCAGGGTGGGGCAGTAGAGGTTCATTTCACCATGATAAAGGGGCAGGAGAGGTTCAGTTCACCATGATATTGGGGCAGGAGTGCTTCATGGTGGGGCAGGAGAGGTTCAGTTCACCAAGATATAGGGGCAGGGGAGGTTCAGGGTTGGGCAGGATAGGTTCAGTTCACCATGATATAGGGGCAGGGGAGGTTCAGGGTGGGGCAGGAGAGGTTCAGTTTACCATGATATATGGGCAGGAAAGGTTCAGTTCACCATGATATAGGGGCAGGGGAGGTTCAGTTCACCATGATATAGGGGCAGGAGAGGTTCAGGGTGGGGCAGGAGAGGTTCATTTCACCATGATATATCGGCAGGAGAGGTTCAGTTCACCATGATATAGGGGCAGGGGAGGTTTAGTTCACCATGATATAGGGGCAGGAGAGGTTCATTTCACCATGATAAAGGGGGAGGGGAGGTTCAGGGTGGGGCAGGAGAGGTTCAGTTCACCAAGATATAGGGGCAGGAGAGGTTCAGCTCACCATGATATAGGGGCAGGGGAGGGTCAGGGTGGGGCAGGAAAGGTTTAGGTCACCATGATATAGGGGCGGAGAGGTTCAGTTCACCATGTTATAGGGGCAGGAAAGGTTTAGTTCACCATGATATAGGGGCGGAGAGGGTCAGTTCACCATGATATAGGGGCAGGAGAGGTTCAGGGTGGGGCAGGAAAGGTTTAGTTCACCATGATATAGGGGCGGAGAGGTTCAGTTCACCATGATATAGGGGCAGGAGAGGTTCATTTCACCATGGTATAGGGGCAGGAGTGGTTCAGGGTGGGGCAGGAGAGGTTCATTTCACCATGGTATAGGGGCAGGAGTGGTTCAGGGTGGGGCAGGAGAGGTTCATTTCACCATGATATAGGGGCAGAAGAGGTTCAGTTCACCATGATATAGGGGCAGGAGAGATTCAGTTCACCATGATATAGGGGCAGGAGAGGGTCATTTCACCATGATATAGGGACAGGAGAGGTTCAGGGTGGGGCAAGAGAGGTTCATTTCACCATGATATAGGGGCAGGGGAGGTTCAGTTCCTCATGATATAGGTGCAGGAGAGGTTCAGGGTGGGGCAGGAGAGGTTCATTTCACCATGGTATAGGGGCAGGAGTGGTTCAGGGTGGGGCAGGAGAGGTTCAGGTCACCATGATATAGGGGCAGGGGAGGGTCAGGGTGGGGCAGGAAAGGTTTAGGTCACCATGATATAGGGGCGGAGAGGTTCAGTTCAACATGATATAGGGGCAGGAGAGGTTCAGTTCACCATGATATTGGGGCAGGAGTGGTTCAGGGTGGGGCAGGAGAGGTTCATTTCACCATGGTATAGGGGCAGGAGTGGTTCAGGGTGGGGCAGGAGAGGTTCAGTTCACCATGATATAGGGGAAGGAGAGGTTCAGGGTGGGGCAGTAGAGGTTCATTTCACCATGATATAGGGGCAGGAGAGGGTCAGTTCACCATGATATAGGGGCAGGGGAGGGTCAGGGTGGGGCAGGAAAGGTTTAGGTCACCATGATATAGGGGCGGAGAGGTTCAGTTCACCATGATATAGGGGCAGGAGAGGTTCATTTCACCATGATATAGGGACAGGAGAGGTTCAGGGTGGGGCAAGAGAGGTTCATTTCACCATGATATAGGGGCAGGAGAAGTTCAGGGTGGGGCAGGAGAGGTTCATTTCACCATGATATAGGGGCAGGAAAGGATCAGTTCACCATGATATAGGGGAAGGAGAGGTTCAGGGTGGGGCAGGAGAGGGTCAGTTCACCATCATAAAGGGGCAGGAGAGGTTCAGGGTGGGGCAGGAAAGGTTCAGTTCACCATGTGATATAGGGGCAGGAGAGGTTCAGTTCACCATGATATAGGGCCAGGGGAGGTTCAGTTCACCATGATATAGGGGCAGGGGAGGTTCAGGGTGGGGCAGGAAATGTTCAGTTCACCATGATATAGGGCCAGGGGAGGTTCAGTTCACCATGATAAAGGGGCAGGAGAGGTTCAGGGTGGGGCAGGAAAGGTTCAGTTCACCATGATATTGGGGCAGGAGAGGTTTAGTTCACCATGATATAGGCCCAGGGGAGGTTCAGCTCACCATGATAAAGGCTCAGGAGAGGTTCAGGATGGGGCAGGAGAGGGTCATGGGGCAGGAGAGGGTCGGTTCACCATGTTAAAGGGGCAGGGGGGGGTCAGGGTGGGGCAGGGGGGGGTCAGGGTGGGGCAGGGATGGTTCAGTTCACCATAATATAGGGGCAGGAGTGGATCAGTTCACCTTGATATAGGGGCATGAGAGGTTCAGGGGGGGGCAGGAAGGTAGAGAAATATAGGGTGGGGCAGAAAGGTAGAGAAATATAGGTTGGGGCAGGAAGGAAGAGAAATATAGGGTGGGGCAGGAAGGTAGAGAAATATAGGGTGGGGCAGGAAGGTAGAGAAATATAGGGTGGGGCAGAAAGGAAGAGAAATATAGGGTGGGGCAGAAAGCTAGAGAAATAAAGGGTGGGGCAGAAAGGTAGAGAAATATAGAGTGGGGCGGGAAGGTAGAGAAATATAGGGTAGGGCAGGAAGGTAGAGAAATATAGGGTGGGGCAGGAAGGTAGAGAAATATAGGGTGGGGCAGAAAGCTAGAGAAATATAGGGTGGGGCAGGAAGGTAGAGAAATATAGGGTGGGGCAGGAAGGTAGAGAATTATAGGGTGGGCAGGAAGGTAGAGAAATATAGGGTGGGCAGGAAGGTAGAGAAATATAGGGTGGGGCAGGAAGGTAGAGAAATATAGGGTGGGGCAGNTTGGGCAGGAAGGTAGAGAAATAAAGGGTGGGGCAGGAAGGTAGAGAAATATAGGGTGGGGCAGGAAGGGAGAGAGATATAGGGTTTGGCAGGAAGGTAGAGAAGTATAGGGTGAGGCAGGAAGGTAGAGAAGTATAGGGTGGGGCAGGAGGGGTTCACGTTACCATAATGCTGATATTAAGCATTTCGATATAGGGGGAGGGGAGGTTCAGGGTGGGGCCAGAGAGGTTCATTTCACCATGATATAGGGGCATGAGAGGTTCAGTTCACCATGATATAGGGGCATGAGAGGTTCAGTTCACCATGATATAGGGACAGGAGAGGTTCAGGGTGGGGCAGGAGAGGTTCAGGGGGGGGCAGGAAAGGAGAGAAATATAGGGTGGGGCAGGAAGGTAGAGAAATATAGGGTGGGGCAAGAGAGGTTCACTTTACCATAATGCTGATATTAAGCATTTCACCATATTTTTTCTATTTTACTTTTTAAAACCAAATATTTTTTAGTTCATTTCATTTTGTTGTCCTGTATATGAAAATATCAAAATTAAGTTTAGGGTAGAGACATTTATAGTGGTACAGGTGGGGTTCAATTACCAGGTCATTATGGTGAAATGGAGCTTTTCACTATCCTTTTTTCTATTGACTTTTTCAAAGCAAATATGAATATAACAAAAGTTATGACTAGGGTAGAGAAATTAAAGGTGATCAAAATATATCAAAAAATAATTAAACAAATTCTACCACAGTCATGATTTAGTCATTTTCATATACAGGAAAACACATTGATGTGAACTAAAAATGAATTGGTTTAAAAGACGTCAATTAGAAACAAGATACCCCAGAGGGATCTTGGCCCCTCAATCGTACCATCTTCTGTAGTTCTATGTCAGTTTGATCTTTTCTTTTCTCCTATCTGTTTGATGGAGTCATGAAAATAGTGTATGCACCTTGAGATATAACTTTCGATCTAAACTTCATACTGCTGTGTATAAAAGACAACCTTCAAAGTGAGTTTTCGTTTCGCATATTACTAGTACAGTACTTGATGTGAAAGAAACAGAACCATCATTGCCACATGGGAAAGATCTGTAACGTCCTTTCTGGGAAATTGTTGTTATGTCAAAATCCAAGATGATCATCTGCAGCCATCTTGTTTTTATGATCAGTATCAAAATTAACCATGCACAACTAAGGACCAAGGGGAACCTACTTATCAATTGAGAAAGATCCCTCAAGTACTCTCTGAGAACTAGGAATAGCAAACTGTCAAAATCCAAGATAACCACCTGTCAACCATTTTTTTTATTCCATCAGTCACAAAAGTAAACATGCACAATTATAATGACCAAGGGTAACCTTTATATCAAATTTGGGAAAGATCATTCCAGTAATTTCTTAGATATAGCGCTAACAACCATTAACAATGAAAATGCATGATGGTGCCTATTGGCCATCATGGTTTTCCAATCAGTCCCAAAATTCAATATGCATAACAAGGGACCCTTGGAAATCTTCATGAGAGATATGAGAAAGATCCCTCCGGTACGTACTTTCTGAGAAATAGCGCTAACAAACTAAAACTCAACAAGAGATCCTGCTATTTAAATTAATCAGTCTTTTGATCAACCTCAAAAGTTAAAGACCAAGGAGAACCTAGTCAAATCAAATGGATTCCCTGAGATATGGCGACAACAAACTTTTACTGTAACACGATGGCTGCCTGTCAGCATCTTGGTTTTCAGATTAGTCCAAAAATTTAAATTGCATAGCTGCGAACCAAGAGGAACCCTTGAGTAAAATTTTAGAAAGATCCCTCCAATAGTTTGTGAGCAATAGCGCTAACAAACTTAGGCTCTCAAATTAAAAATGGCTGCCTGTGGGCCATCTGGGTTTTCCAATCATCCTAAAAATTTGATATCCGTAACTAGGAATCATGGGAACCTTCATATTAAGAAATAGCGCTAACTAACTTTAACTCCTGTCAGCCATCTTGGTTTTGTGATCAGTCCCAACTAGAACTGTAAGCTAAAGGCTAACTAATACCCTCGCTCCTACATAAACCAAAACTGTAAGCTAAAGGCTTACTAAGACAAAACAATATAGTCTCCCACCAGTAACAAGTATTTTGTACAAAGGGGCATAACTCCACCAAAAAGGGTTGAAATCCAAAATTAAAATGTCGGTGCACAACTACATAAGAAACAGTTGTGTGACAGCACAACGCACCAAAAATCGTTCACACACAGTCCGCACATCGTCCACACATGGTGCGCACAACCGTGTGATTTAACAATGGTTCGCCTCTTTGTGCGCTTGCTTCTCTCCGCACAACTGTGCGATTTGGTACAATTTGTAGATCAATATTAAGGAAAACTTGTATACAATAAAGTACACTGCATATATTACTGTAATTTCTCATCACAATAGTTAAGATTTTGTATAATTTTACAATTCGTGTTACACAGCATTACAGTGACCGTTAGACTGTCACAAATGGGTTTGGCTCCAAGGTAACGGAACAGGGAAATAACCATTTGATGAGTGACCAGAGTTTTACCTGGCCTGTGACTGAGCTGATATGCGATACCGATACCGTATGACAGTAATGAAAACACAACTGGACGTTTAGTATTTGTTATTTGCATTCGGTTTGCCTATAGCTCCCCTTCATCTGGGTTTTCACACCTACGGCCCTACCCGACGAGTTACGTAAGTGCCCCGGGCGGAGGGAAAACTACGGTCCAGGTACATGTACAAAGTGGCTATGTTTACCTGTATACGGGACTGCACACACAGTGTTGTAATTTTACATGTGTCGATTAAGGTCGTTTTAAAAAACACAGAAAACACTATTTCTAAATTTAAGAAAGTATAGACAGAAAGATAAGCTCATGCATATGTAAAATTCAAGTTTATTTGTTTAAACACGAAACCGTATATATTGTTAAGTCATTCCTCGATTTACACCAACCACGATTGTTATCGTACAACATTCGTCCATCATGCGCACAAATATACGCAAGCAATGATCGTCCAACATTTTATCATTCATACACCGTGCACACATTGTGCGAGCACCGTACATCGTGTAACGTTGTGCAATCCCACAACTGTACCTATCATTCACGCAAAGTTTCAATGAAATCCACCTGTGAGTTAAGGAGAAGTTTTTCGGACAAGTTACTGCGGACGACAGACAGACAGACATCCAGGCAGGGTAATTCCAGTATACCCCCCCCCCCTAACTTCGTTGCAGGGGTATAAAAATTAACATGCATAACTAGGGACCATTGGGAACCTCCATGTGGAATTTTAGAAAGATACCTCTAGTACTTTCTGAGAAAAAGTGCTAACAAGAATGGTTTAAGGACGGATGGAATGACAGAATGAGGGCCGTGAGGGACCGACCACCGTTCAAGGACGAAGGGTAATCTGAATAGCCCACCATGATGGTTGGCTTAAAATATCAATTCAAAAAAATAAGGTTGAAGGCTTTCCTGTTGTGGTAAATTGAACACCAGACCCACAAACACACACACTTTACCCTCAATTTTTCTACCCCAAGGATAATTTTTTGTTATGTTATAGAAAGTACAAGAAATTGAAGAAATAACAAAAAAAGATTTGATAACAAAAAAATATATACGGACAAATTTCTTTTAGGGCTTCATTTCCCTACCATTATGGTGAAATAAACCCTATGTTGAACATATCCTGACCAGCTTGACCAAGATTGTTCCTGACTAGCTTGACCAAGATGGTTCCTGACCAGCTTGACTAAGATGGTTCCTTACCAGCTTGACTAAGATGTTCCTTACCTGTGACGTATTGCTTGCAGGTACAGTTTCCATTTTCTTTATCACATTCAGCTATATTGGGATCACTGCCGTGTGTATTACATGCACAATTCTGGCAACCTTCAAAATTGAGATTGTGCAAGCCATATGTATTGGATGCACATTGGTTGCATTGTGAATTAATCACGTTATTTTTACACAGACATGTTCCAACATCATTGCAGCTTTGACTTCCTGTTTGATCACAAGATGAGCATGGCTTGCAGCCATCAGCATTGGATTCAGTCAGGTTATAGTACAGATGTTTACAGCTGTCACAATGGTAGCCTTCCACCCCATCTTTACATAGACATCCTCCACCATCCTATATATGAAAAACAAACACCTAGTATATGAAATAACTCATTCACCCTTGAAATTTCATAATGAACTATTCCAACCTTTGAATTGGAAGGTTTTAAATGTGTCTTTAGGGGTGAATGAGGTAAAACGAGGTAACATTGGTGAAACCGCCTGAATAACAGGATAACACTTTCCTGCCTCAATTTTATCAGTTTGCATTGAAGATGCAAAAGTATATAGAAGTGTGCACTCGTGAAAAATATCAAAATATTAGCCACACGAGTGAAATGTATTTGCTATTACTGAAGACACCATTACATTTTCTATTTATTACATTTGTAAAGCATAAAACATGAAAAATGTTATGCATTAAAAAAGGGTGGGAATCAGAAGCGTAATAATTAGCGCCATATTCTAATGACATCACGCTTGACATGGCTGCGTGCCATTTTGAATGGGATACTCAACGCAATTTCGATGTTTTCTGCTATTTTCTAGTATGATTGCTTATACCAAAGATTTACCATAACAACCACTTATTCTACCAAATTGTTGCCTTTGAACGCAGCAAATGATACTGTTATGATTGGTCAATACCAAAAAGTGATATTTTCACAATATGAAAATATCACTTTTGATATCTGTCACAGCGTGAAAGATATCAGTTTTATCAAGTAAAAATAAGATAGAATCCGATATTTCACTGGCAAAACTGTAATAAATATTACAAACCTCTTAAGATCACATTTTTGTGGGGCCCAGTTTATCAGTACAAGGGAAGGAAATAGGTTATGTATTGCTATTCTATACCTTACAGATCCTTGTTTATAGGCTATGTATTGGTATTCTTTACCTTACAGATCCTTGTTTGAAGGCTATGTATTGCTATTCTATACCTTACAGATCCTTGTTTGTAGGGTATGTATTGCTATTCTATACCTTACAGATCCTTGTTTGTAGGCTATGTATTGGTATTCTATACCTTACAGATCCTTGTTTACAGGCAATGTATTGCTATTCTATACCTTACAGATCCTTGTTTATAGGCTATGTATTCTATTCTATACCTTACAGACCCTTGTTTATAGGCTATGTATTCTATTCTATACCTTACAGACCCTTGTTTATAGGCTATGTATTCTATTCTATACCTTACAGATCTTTGTTTGAAGACTATGTATTGCTATTCTATACCTTACAGATCTTTGTTTTAAGACTATGTATTGCTATTCTATACCTTACAGATCCTTGTTTATAGGCTATGTATTGGTATTCTTTACCTTACAGATCCTTGTTTATAGTCTATGTATTGCTAATCTATACCTTACAGATCCTTGTTTGTTGGCTATGTATTGCTATTCTATACCTTACAGATCCTTGTTTATAGGCTATGTATTGCTAATCTATACCTTACAGATCCTTGTTTATAGGCTATGTATTGCTATTATATACCTTACATATCCTTGTTTGTAGGCTATGTATTGCTATTCTATACCTAACAGATCCTTGTTTGTTGGCTATGTATTGCTATTCTATACCTTACAGATCCTTGTTTATAGGCTATGTATTGCTATTCTATACCTTACAGATCCTTGTTTGAAGACGATGTATTGCTATTCTATACCTTACAGATCTTTGTTTGAAGACTATGTATTGCTATTCTATACCTTACATATCCTTGTTGGTAGGCTATGTATTGCTATTCTATACCTTACAAATCCTTGATTGTAGGCAATGTATTGCTATCCTATACCTTACAGATCCTTGTTTGTAGGCTATGTATTGCTATTCTATCCCTTACAGATCCTTGTTTGTAGGCTATGTAGTTCTATTCTATACCTTACAGATCCTTGTTTATAGGCTATGTATTGCTATTCTATACCTTACAGATCCGGGTTTGTAGGCTATGTATTGCTATTCTATACCTTACAGATCTGTGTTTGTAGGCTATGTATTGCTATTCTATCCCTTACAGATCCTTGTTTGTAGGCAATGTATTGCTATTCTATACCTTACAGAACTGTGTTTGTAGGCTATGTATTGCTATTCTATACCTTACAGATCCGTGTTTGTAGGCTATGTATTGCTATTCTATACCTTACATATCCTTGTTTATAGGCTATGGATTGCTATTCTATACCTTACAGATCCTTGTTTGTAGGCTATGTAGTTCTATTCTATACCTTACAGATCCTTGTTTATAGGCTATGTATTGCTATTCCATACCTTACAGATCCTTGTTTGAAGGCTATGCATTGCTATTCTATACCTTACAGATCCTTGTTTGTAGGCTATGTAGTTCTATTCTATACCTTACAGATCCTTGTTTATAGGCTAAGATCTTTGTTTTAAGACTATGTATTGCTATTCTATACCTAACAGATCCGTGTTTGTAGGCTATGTATTGCTACTCTATACCTTACAGATCCTTGTTTGATGGCTATGCACTGCTATTCTATACCTTACAGATCCGTGTTTGTAGGCTATGTATTGCTAATCTATACCTTACAGATCCTTGTTTATAAGCTATGTATTGCTATTCCATACCTTGCAGATCCTTGTTTGAAGGCTATGTATTGCTATTCTATAACTTACAGATCCTTGTTTGTAGGCTATGCATTGCTATTCTATACCTTAAAGATCCTTGTTTGTAGGCTATGTAGTTCTATTCTATACCTTACAGATCCTTGTTTATAAGCTATGTATTGCTATTCCATACCTTGCAGATCCTTGTTTGAAGGCTATGTATTGCTATTCTATAACTTACAGATCCTTGTTTGTAGGCAATGTATTGCTATTCTATACCTTACAGATCCGTGTTTGTAGGCTATGTATTGGTATTCTATACCTTACAGATCCTTGTTTGTAGGTTATGTATTGCTATTATATACCTTACATATCCTTGTTTGTAGGCTATGTAGCATAGCACCATGGCAGGTAAGTTAAAATTAAGGAAAACACTGTGTATACCTGATTACTGTGTATACCTGATTGCTGTGTATACCTGATTACTGTGTATACCTGATTACACTGGCCTTCGGTTTTTATCCCTGGAGCACTTGTACAATTACACTCAAAGGGACAGTCCAGTTTGTTTTGGCGGCGGTAATACCCTGCTTCACATGTCCCACAATCCTGTCCAGTTGTGTGGGTCTTACCCAGACAATAACACTCTCCTCCACTAATATTGTCTGCGTTTCCAAAGCAGTTATCTCTGAGGAGTAAAAATCAATCAGGTTAATTATTGTCAGAATATGCGTTAACAGAGGTAGGACAATCTTGATGTAGCTCACTAACTCACTCACTCACTCAGTATTACCCTTGTAAGTAACCGGATGTCAGATGAGTGTGAGACATTGCCTGTTATATCATGGGTCATTTGTCAGAGGTAAAAAGTGATGCCAATCCTTCAATTTTTGCTCTAATTGATAAAACTGAATTTTCATGAATAGTCTTTCCAAAGATAATTGCTGTCGCAACAATGAAATAACATATTCTCAATCACAAATTCAAGCATTAATGTATAAAACTTATTGCCAAATAAAGGAAAACAAATACATTTTTTTACAGATTAAATTGAAATATGATATTGAGAGAAGCTCTTTTCTGTGAAAAAGCAACACTGTAGGTCAATTTTGATTAAGGGTTGAATATTCCTTTTGTCAATTTCATAGGGTGATGAATTGAACAAATTCAAAGTGAACTGTACAGTAGCTTGTCTTGAATTTGTTTCAAGACAAACTCAATTCATTACCCTATGAAATTGATCAAAGTAGGTATTCTTTGGGGCAAACTTTTTCTCATTACATGTTAATATAAAAAAGGTCAAATAAAAATCCTCACTGTTGGGTCAAAGGTCATCAATTTTTGAATTTTTTATTTTATTTTATTTTTAATTATTTTTGTTATCAGTGGAGAATTTCATTCCAATGATTTTGACATCTTTAGTTTAACTTTAACATTTACCATTAACATCTTACACCATTTTGAATAATCCTTTGATCTTTTTAAAATGTAGACAGTTGATGCCTTACCTAATTTGGTAATGTTTTTGACTTCATTAAAAAAAAAAAATGGCCACCATGATGTCATATCCGTTTAAACTTAATTGCAATAACTCATTTATGGCTGAAGCTATAAAATTTACAAAACAAACAGGAATTACTTTTGTGTCAAAGGTCAATTTTCGGTTTTCGGTAGGGGTCAAAGTTCAAATGCACTAATTGGGTAACAGACTTAAAACATCCTATTCTTAAGTTCTACGACGTCAAGAGACTTGATATTGGATCTGTGAGATACTGAGATGTTTGGGTATCAGGTTTGAAAAAATGGTTGACCTTTATGAATATTCAAGGTCACAGAGCTCAAATTTCTTTAAACGAAAATGTTTTGAAAACCATTTCAGGCATTTACATTATATTTTAGTATGTTGTTGAGAGCATAAATCTGCATATTGTTTTTTGGAAACATTTTTGTCTCAGAAGTCAACTTCCGGTTTTTGGTAGGGGTCAAATTTCAGCAGTGATGTTTTGGGTAACAACCCCTAAAAAACTTCTCAAAATGTAGGAGGTTAAAAGTCTTAATATTTGATATGTATGATGCTTAGATGTTTGGCAATCAGATTTAAAACAAGAGGCCCAGAGGGCCTGTAGGTAGCAGAATACAGTAGAAATGGCCCGACTCTGATAAACAAGGCACATGTCGAGGAAATGTAAACACAGCGGATTTACCCTACACAACACATGTATACATGTATATATATTTGTAAACTGCATTACATTTACAATACATATAAAGCACTGAGAAGTGTATAAACCTCTTTTTTCTATGTATGTCACTTGTGTGAAAACCATGGTTACCACATCAAAAATTACCAAAAAATGCCAAAAAATGCTATTTTTAACCCAAAATTTGACCCCCGCAAGTAGTAATTTTTTTCCTAAGCTCTGTCTGAAATTAAAGATTACCTACCTGGTTGCAGAATTATCTGGGTCGCAGTAAAATTGTAGAACTTGATTTTTTGCAATTTTGCGTCGTGTGCTGTTGTCAAAATTTTACCTCCTGTAAAGCTAGCTTTTCATGTGTACGCACCCTTTCGTATTATGGCCAAAATTTTATTCTCGAACCAAAGAAATCTTCTTTCTTTTTTACAAATGTGAAGCTCACATAGCCCACTTCATCATGCTTATACCAATTTTAGTACAGTTTTATTTTTATATTTTTTTTACATATCATTATACAGGGGTTAGCCATTTAACAAAAATATCACCCATGGCCACAACCCTCTACTGTACTCTGCTACCTGTATCGCTCACCTGTTTCTTTTGTTACATGAATCTGATATATATAGGTAACTTCAGATCAAATTTGGTAACTAGAACACAAGACAATTTAACATCTCTTAAATGCCTTGTTTGAAATTTGATATTTTGATTTTAAAGCTTTTAAGCCATGTTGACCTTTGACTCCGGCTAGCACTTAAAGTTGACTTTTGACTTCATTACTATAATAAAGAAAACGAGGACACATCTGGTCTACATAACATACCCAAGTATCGTGACTCTAGACCAAATGGTTCTTCAGATATTGTTGTTCGAAGATTTGAACATATTTGACCCCTGTGTGACCTTGAAAGTACGTCAAATACCATGACCCTGGGCCTTATGGAACTTGAGAATAAGATTGTAAAAGCTTTTAACCCATGTTGACCTTTAACCCCGGCTATGACTCAAAGTTGACCTTTGACCTCATTGCTGTAATTAAGGAAAGGATTTGCACTGCTGGTCTACATAACATATCCAAGTATCATGACTCTAGTTCAAATGGTTCTTAGGATATTGTTGTTTGAATTTTTTAATATATTTGACCCCTGTGACCTTGAAAGTAGGTCAAGGTCATTTTAATGAGGAAAGTTTATAGCATTCCATCACAGGTATACGTACCTACTGGTAAAATATCATGACTCTATGTCCTCCAGTTCTTCAGAAATAGTTGTTCAAAAGAAAAAATTGATTGCCAAACGACAGACGATGCAGTACGGCATAACTAACAAGAGGCCCAGAGGGCCTGTATCGCTCACCTGAATATTTAAGCAGTCATATCAAAATATTCTCAATAAATATTATACTGTACTACAAATATTTCACTTGCAAACTTTATCGACTCCATCAGTTGAAACTACCAGTCAAACATTATTTTATGATTCAATGCTTTTTGGTTCTTCTTCAGAAGTTGTTTGAAGTGTTTGACATATTTTCCCCTGTGACCTTGTAAGGAGGTCAAGGTCATTTTTCTTCTCAAACTTTGTTGGCTCTATCCTAAAAAGCTACCAGCCAAATCTTATGAATTCATTCCTTTTGGTTCTTCAGAACAAATCGTTTAAAATGTTGTTGACCTCGGTTACCTTTAAAGTAAGTTCTTTTTATTTGTAAAGTTTGGTGAAAAGCAACCAGCCATATATTATGATTCTATGCCTTTGATTATTCAGAAGAAGTCGTTTGATGTTTTTGACATATTTGACTGCTGTGACCCTGAAAGTAGGTCAAGGACATTTTTATTCCAAACTTTGTCATGCTCAATCTTAAGAAATTACCAGCCAAATATGAAGATTATATACATTTCAGTTCCTCCAAAGAAGTCGCTTGAAGTGTTTGTCCTCTGTAACCTTGAAACAAGAGATCCCAGAGGGATCTTGGCGCCCACCTTTGTACCATCTTCATTAGTTCTTTGTCAGTTTGATCTTTTCTCTTTTTTCCTCTAATCTGTTTGATCGAGTCATGTTAACAGTAAATGCACCTTGAGGTAACTTTTGATCTAAACTTAATACTGATGTGTATGAAAGCCAACCTTCAAAGTGAGTTTGTCATTTCACATATTTACTAGTACAGTACTTAATGTGAAAGAAATAGAATCGATCATTGCAATATGAGAAAGATCTGTTTAGTTCTTCTTTTAATCCATTTTGTTTTTATGATCAGTCTCAAA